TAAATTTTTTTATTTTCTAAATTTAATAATAAAAATTATTTAAAACTTAATCTTAAATATATATTAATATAAAAAAAACAGAAATTTTGTTATAGTAAAGTATTACATCCTATTATATGATTTTTAAAATTAATTTTGATAATACAAAATATAAATATTATGTAATATAATCTTTATTTGATAATTTTATTTTAAACCTTTAAATTTTTTTTATTTTATTTACATAAATTATATTCAAATTCATCAGATTATATATTAGTTATATTGTATTATTTAAAAGCTTTGAATTTTATATAATTATTAGAATATAAACTAATTCTGATATTTTAATTAATTATAATAAGTGACAAATAAGCATTATAATATTGCAACTAATTGCAATATCAAATTATAATAAATAATAAATAAGTATTATGATTATTACAACAATATCTTTAATACAAATCTAATTCTGTTTTTTACAAAAAACTACTTACTATACTATTTTTCTAAAAGGATTACTTATTATATTATTTTTCTAAAAGAAATTACTTATTATATTTTTTCAAAAAATTATTTATTATATTTTTCAAATAAAAATACAAAAAAACCCAGAAAAATTCTCAAATAATATATGTAAGAAATTAAAATTCTTAGCTAAAATAAAAAATTTTATAAGGTAAAAATTTGTATTTACTTAATTTTAGCAAAATTTTAGTTAACGTAAAATGATTAATATATCTATTTTTATCTATTTTTTTAGGATATTAAAGAGTTAAAGTTATTTAATTTTACTATTTTTTTTTAATGATGTGACATTGCCAGTAACTTTATTAAATTTATATAAAGAGATACAAGTAAATCAAGAATAAATCTATGTTAAATACTAGCTATCTTTTGTAATTATATTGCAAATCTATTTAAATTAACCTATTATCATTTTCTCCTTCCATTAACTCCACTAAGAATGTTCTTAATAAAAATTGCTATTAATGTGAAAATACTTAATTTTACTATTATTTGATCAGTATTTATATAGTCACATAATTTTCCTTTATATATAAGAATTTTTTATATAAAATAATCTTTTTATTTTTCATCAAAAAAATTTTTTTAATTTTATGCCTTTAAATAAATATAGTAATAAAAGATTACTAAATATGAATAGGATCTAGAAATATATTTATATATAGGTAAGATGATTAAAATTTTCAATATAAGCTTTATACAGATAATTTTATAATAGCAATATGCATAATTGAAATTTGATATTAAAAATTCTATGAAATTATACAAATAAAAATTTTATTTATTATTAGTATTGCTGTATATTATCTGATAATTAATTATCAAGTAGTAATTAATTATGAAAAGTAATTAATTATAAGAAATTAATTAATTTATGAAATTTAAAGTAAATTTTGTTATTAATAAAATTTTTTAATTTTTTTATTAATTATCATAATTAAATACAAATTTGAAAAAAAATAAAATTTTACATGTAAAATAGTTATTATAACTTTTGATTATTTTATAAAAAATAAATAAAATTAAAAAAAAATATTTTTTTTAAAATTTATTCAAAAAATTAATTATAATAAAATAAAGTAAATAACTTTTAAATACTTTTATTTACTTTTTTTTTTATAAAATATGATAATTTTGTAATATATATATTTATATTATTACAGTATTTAATAAATTATATAAATAAATATTCAAAAAAACAAAAAAATTTAAAAATTAATATAATTACAAAAAATAACTATTACTTAATGAATATTAAACTAATCTTAATGAAAAATTATATGCTAATAGTTTTAGACTTATAGAATATGTTTATTTAATATATAGTAAGCAATTTACTTTGACCAAAGTGATCAAATTAATTTGTTTAATTTGTGAAATTAAAAAAAGTATAGTGATATTAATAAGTTATAAAAACACATATTACTACACAAATATTAAACCAATCTTAATAAAAATTAGAATAAATAGTATTGAATCTGTTGAATAACTTATACTTAGAGATAAAAGATGATTGATTAATCAAAATGCTTAAATTATCTTGTGAAATAAAAAAATGTCGCAGTGTTAATAAATTACAAAAATACATATTTAATACATAAATATTAAATTAATTTTAATGAAAATTGGATGTAAAATAGTATCAAACATACTAAACAACTTTATTAAAGATGAAAAATGATTAATTTTAATTAAAGTGCTTAATTTTCATCATAAAATTTCTATATTAATGTTTATAAAAAAAGATATTAAATATATATAAAAATTATAATCTACAAAAATAAAAAAATTATATTTAATAAGAGTTCTTACAAATTCAAATATTTAAGTTTAAAAAATATGAATTTTTTTTTAAAAATTGTTAAATAAAATAAAAGTGTTTTTTTTTTATTTAAACAATTATAATTATTATTAATTAAAAATTTTTATATTATTTCATATATAATATTTTATCATTTTTTTAAATAATTTAATCAGATTATATTAGATTAGGTCAGGTCAGATCAGATCAGGTTAAATGAAAATTTAAATTAAGTCAGTTTTATTTGACTTGACTTGATCCTTTTAGTTCAGGTAATTTGATTGATTTGATCTAAACTGATTTATTTAGAGCTATTTTTTAAATTAACTAGTAAAAAAGAATAATTTTTTTTAATTTTATACTTAAGTTTTATATACATGTCATATTGTATTAGAATTATATTATCAGGTTATATAATTAATACCATAAATAATGCAAAGCAAAATATTAACATAATTAGAAATAGTTTAGTTTATGTAATTTCAATCTTTTGATATTAATTAAAAACTGCTATTTATTATATTCTCAAATTATAACTATTGTAAAATTCTTTAACTATAATCTATCTAAAGAGTTTTTAAAGTTCTTTTTAATTGTTTGAAAAATTATTATATACTTATTATTATAAATAATATTCAAAAAATATTAATTAATAATTTAGCTAAAATTAAAAGATAAGTCAGTAATTATTTCTTTGTCAAATAGATAAATTGAATAATTTAAGCTTAAAGATTATGTATAAATAATCTGATTGATAATATAATGTAAATACCTATTCTTGATGAATATTTAATAAAAAATTGCTAGTCTATTAAGAGTTTATAATAAAATGTTTAAACATCTTAGATTTTAATACAATTTCTTTTTTAAATACTTATCCATCAGAAAATCATAGAAAAATGTACATTATATGAATATTGATTTCTAAATATATATCAAAAAATGACATTAAATAGACCCTATAATGTAATACTAATATACAAAATGTCAATGATCAATATTAAAATAAGTTGAACATTGTTGTACAGTACAATATATATATATCATATAATAACCAATATAAATCAGCTTAATTGTTTATTTATTTAGATCATAAAATTTACTAAATTTATTATAATTGCAATAACAGAATATACAAATATATATATTAAATGATATATTTTATACTACATAAATCTTTTTTTTTTTTGAATAATTACAATTAATAAACTATAAAATATCGCGTTTGATACAAAGTCTATCATTGTGAAAATTAACGAAATTAATCCTGATAATACTAAATCTTGAGAAGAGGTTATCATCGTTTGATACTATAAAAAGGATTAAATTATTTTTATTATATTATTAAATTCACAAAAATGTAATAAAATAAAATATAAATTCACCTAATTATCATCGTCATCGTCTTCAATATTATCGATATATTTATCAATAACCTATTGAATTAAACTAAATTTAGTAATAAAATAAGATTAAACTAGATCAATGCTATATTTTAATAGCTCATTTTCGTCATATTCTTTTAATATCTGATTCATATGATTGAATATCATCTCTCCATTAAGAGTCGTAGTTTGTACATTAGTATCAAAAAATTATATTGACAATAGCTACCACAAATACACAATTATTTATTATACATTTGTTTTCCTTGAATACTTCATTTTAATTCGATTCATATAAGTGTCATCATTGGTACTGCCTTCTATTCGATTCCATAAATTTTCTTTCACCCACTTCACATTAGGTGAAGTTTTCCACTTCAGAATATTCTCCATTGTTGCTTTATGACCTGGGATCTTACCAATAACAGCTTTCCCAAAAGTGCTAGAGATTACACTTTTGATATTCCTAACATAATTAGCACGCTTCACTCAAAATTCATTACGTATCTATAGATCCATTTCATTAATCAGTATTATAGTAATTTCATCCAATAAATGTATAATTAAACTTAAATGTGATTGTAACACATTCGTCCAAAAACTTTTCTATCTGCCGGTTGTGTTTTCTATCTTTTTGATTTCTTCTGAATGTGACTCTGATAAATGATCATATATGAATCCACTCATGATTTCGTCATTTGGATTTTTATTTATAAAAAAAAAGTTCTATGCAAGCATTACCTGCAGTAAAATGATATTAAAATAGATAGAATATTATTAGAAAAAAAATATATCGAAAATTTAATTATATAATACTTACATTATACCAAATGAGATTCTTTTTCATATTAATCCCTTTGGTTTTATTATTATCAGATTCTGAGATGTTATTATGAGTTGATTCCTTAATAAGATTGCTTACAGCTTGTTTAATACGCACGGATTTTCTTTAGCAACAAGTGCTTCTTTATACGTCATTTTAGAATAAGTAAGAGCTTTATTTAATGTTTCAGTATTGAGGCGGAGCATTATAATATAATAATAATAATTAATATAATTACGTAAAATCAAAAATCAAACGTTAATAGTATAATAATATTAGTACTTATACTTTGAATCATCTTTATTATGATTATGGTACTTTTTCGTTTATTATCATTTGATTTTGATGGCATTTTCCAGAAGTGATGGTAGTTTTTAGATTTTTGTGACTCATTAACACTTGGACTTGACACACGCGATTTATTGGAGTTTCATTATGAACACTCATATCGTCATCATCACGAAAACAAATTAATGGTGTGGCATCAGTTGAAGCGGGTGTAGGTGATGTAGATAGTTAATTTTTTCGTGGCATCAGATGATGCAGGTATAGGTGATGAAGATGGTTGTTTTTTCATGGCATCAGTTGATGCAGGTGTAGGTGTTGTAGATAGTTGTTTTTTCGTGGCATTAGTTGATGCAAGTGTAGGTGTTGTAGATAGTTGTCTTTTCGTGACATCAGTCCAAATAATACAATAAAAATAAAAATTACTATTAATACAATAAATATTATCAGTTATATAATACAATAAATAATTTCTTACTTTAGTAGGACGTGGCCGAAGATTTCTTAGGGAAAATGTGGCAAGAGGGTGGTACGAATGGAACGAGCAATTTTGGCTTTTCTGTTGAATTTCTTCATAAGATTTTCTATTCATTATTTAATTCTTCTAATTCTCTTTCACTTTTTGCTAGAGAATTTTTGATTTAATCCTATCCTTTTCCACCCTTGATTTGGCCACGATAATTCGCTCATTTATTAAACAAGTTGATCTTTAACATGATCTATTTTAGACTTTTGAGCTCGAAGTTTCACTCCCAATTTTCAAAATCTTATCTTGAAAATCTTAATCTCCTCTTCAATATTAGAAGGTCAACTTCTAACTTTTGTGTTAGATCAATTTGTATTCGAAGTTGTCCCATGCATACCGTAAACTTGGCAACTCTTTTTCAGTATAGATAATACGTTTTGCGCAAGCATTCGCATTCATCTCTAACTTCGATAGCTCAAACTCTAATTAAGAAAGTTTTTCTCTTGAAGTTGAGGTTCTAAAGATCTAAAGTTTCATTTTAATTCCTTTCACTGCATTTCAAAGTGGCTACGGTCGTTTCCAATTTCGCTGTTATTTTAGAAGAAAATTTTGAACTCATGGCTTCTTTAAACACTTTTGTTACCTCCGCCGCTCATAGTGCCGAATTTGTCAATCAATTGACCACTTAACGTACGCGCCATCGAGTTTTAGTAAATGCGACCCTATTCGTTTGTTATAGATTTTAGGGAACCAAGTGTTTTGTAACACAG